TGAGGTAAGAGAGCTGAACAGAAAGTTTCAAAGGGAAGCTTGAGAAGACAAAGCCAAGTATTATAATGAATTGTCCAAAAACCTGGAGTTAGAAAACCTAAAGGGAAGACTACATTGCACATTTCTCAAGTGGAAAGAACTGGGAAATAAAGTTCAGCTTCGCATTGCTGTACTGAGGATTCTATGGGCAAAACCCTGAAGCATCAAAAGAAGATAGATTCCACAAAGTCACTGTACCAAGAAGAATTGGTTGACAGTCCCGTCAGGAAGTAGTATCTGATCGAGAACTAAAGGTAATGAAGGAACAAGCTCAGGCTGTGTAACAGCATTGTAAAAAAAATAAATAAGGCCCATAAATTATGTATATTGTATTGAAACAGATGAGGGAAAGAACAGATTAGAAGTGATATATGATTGAGTATTATGGTTAGCACAGGAATCCAGAATTAAGGTTGCATAGAGAAGTGTACTCAGGGTCGGGGGTGGGGGGGAGGGACGTGGGAATTGTATACTAATGAAGGAATTTTTTTTCTTTCTTTTTTCTCTCTTCGGAGGGGGAAGCGAGCTGGTGGGGAGGGGTGGCAGGGAGAAAATTGCAGCAATGAATGAATGGAAATCCAAAACCTCTGTAAAAAAAAAATAATAAAATAAGGCCCAGGAATTGATGGAATGCTAACTAACACAAATCAACAAATAGACGCTGCGCTGGACGTGCTTGCTCTCTAGTCTATACCAAGATATATGGAAGATAATATCCTGGTCAAGACCGGAAGAGATCCATATTTGTTTCCATTCCCCAAAAAAATTGACTGAACTCAAACTACCATCGAGTAGATTCCAACTCATAGTTACGCTCTAGTGGGTCTCACAGCCATAACTCAGGATGGGAAGACTGCCCATCTTTCTCCCTTGGAGAAGCTGGTGGAGTCAAACCGAAGATCTTTAGCATTTTTGCACTAAGTAGGTGAAAGTTGGTCTAGAGACTAAGGTGCACCAGATCCAGGCCATGGTTTTCGCAATTACTCGCTATGTATCAGAGAGCTGGACAATGGCTAAGGATGACAGAAGAATAGATGCCTTTGAGTTGTGGTGCTGGAGAAGAGTCTTGAGCATACCATGGACTGCCAAGAGGACAAATCGGTCTACCTTGGAGAGGGTGAACCCAAGTCTCTCCTTGGAGGCTAGGATTTTGAAGCTCTGCCTCACTTACTTTGGGCACATGTCCAGGAGAGACTGGTCCTTGGAGAAGGACATCATGCTTGGAAGGGTGGAGGGACAATGCAGGGGAGGAAGACCCTGGGTGAGATGGATTGATACAGTGACTGGGGCAGTGGGGGTAGGCTTGTGAAGTCAGTGAGACGGGCTCAGGACAGGGCAGGCTTCAGAGATGTACATAGACAAGGTCTATATGAGTGGCAGGTGACTAGATGACACATAACAACCACCACAGGTGGGACTAGTACTGTTTTGTGTTTTTTTTTTCAGAGCTCGTGAATAATTTTTATATTTAGATCTATATCACTTATCTTATGAACCTATTAAATCCTGGGAAGTGTCCACTGTCACACAAAACAGAGCAGGACTCATTTATTTCCATTTGTGTCCACTGGCCCTTAAATGCAAGGGCTAGAGAGAAGGTTGCAATGACCACTCTATCTACTTTTTACTCTTAGCTAGGTTAATCTAATTAAAATTGTGTCTAAAATTTTGCCTTTTAAGTAACAAAAAGCATTTCACAACAGCCAGCGTTTTGATATGAAATAAAGAATACTTAATCTTTCTGATCTAAAACATACACACGAGCACTATAAGCACCAAATCCAGGATAACACGTGGGGAGGGAGGCAGGTGGGCAGTGAATTAAGCAGGGACCTTCACACAAAAGGTTCCTGCTGCTTAAAAACTCCTTCTTCCACTGTTACAAACCAAGACTGACATGGAGCGGGGAGGGGGGGAGACTAGGAAAAGAGTGGATAATGAACAGTGCATTGGGAAGGGTGGAGGTGAAGACTGTTTAAAAGGAATATGTTAGCCATTATGACAACATCACAGATTAAGAGGTGTGTTGCAAAGCAGACAGGAGGAGGAGGAAGGGAGGAAAAGGTGCAACAAGGAATAAAAAAGAAAAAAAAAACCTGAAGGAGAGGGAGGGAAGAAAATGTGCAACAAGGAATGAATGAAAATCCAACTTTCCTGTAAACTTTAATTAAAATTACAATTTAAAAATAAAAATGTCTATTCCTTATGCTGATAAGGGAAGTTTTGTTGTTTTATTTAAAGACAGTTTACTAAAAAAGATACATCTCAGAGAGAGAGAGATGCGTCATTATTTCTCTGAGGGGTGGGGGGAAAGCAAAGCAGAAAGATCATAAAGCAGTTTTTAAATACAATACCAAAACAGTTATCCATAAAAGCAAAACTTGATAAATTGAGTATTTTTAATATATACTTGGAGTATCTGGAATAAGCAGCACAGTGGTTAAGCACTTGTCTGTAACTGGAAGGTCAGCAGTTTGAATACACCAGCTGCTCTTCAGGACAAGACTGTGGCAGTGGCTTCCACAAAAATGACAGCGTTGGGAACGCCATGGGGCAGTTCTTGGAATTGCTGTTAACAGTGGTGATTTGCTATTGCTGCTTTGTCTGAAATACCTCATAATTACTATAATTCATATATTAAGTCTGGAAGCTTCAGAGTTTGAGGTAGGGATTCCTCTCATCAATCTGTTCTACTGTTGGGGGTAGCACAATCCGTAGGGAGTTGGACTACTAACCCGAAGGCCGAGCCTCTCTGGTGGTCCAGCTCCACCAGTGAACCTTGGGAGGAAGATGAAGTCTCCGGGGCACTCTGCAGTTTTAGAAATCCAGTGGAGGATCAGATACAGGTCAGTTCTGACCCAACAGCAACACATGAGTCCCCAAATTCCATTTCAATAACTACTGAGACGCAGCCCTGCTCCTTCTCATAGCTTGGGCCACAGTCTTCATCACAATTTCTCAATTCTGCCATCGTGTTGGTACAACAGCTGCAGACAATACACATCTGAACTGGCGTGGGGATGTCCTGATAAAACCTAATAAAAAACAGGCTACACAGTTCGTGTTGATTTGTGACAGATTTTAATTTGTAAATTTTAACAAAAACACATCACACGGGGGCGCTGTGACCATGCTTTCAGAGCTTGGAGTCAATGCATGTATGAAAACAGATGTATTTTCAATAGCAGGTGCAGCTGTCTGTACCCTCAAATCTTCCAAACCCTGATTCATAATTCCACCATTACATGCTAATTTCACACAATGTGTCAGATACTAATAAGGGAGAGGCAGATGGAGTCTTTTATAATTGTAATTTGAGTGAAAGTTCACTAAGCACGTTTGCTTTCCATAAACACAAGCTTTATGATTATCACAATGCTCTTTATAATAACTGTACTCTTCTTGTGACCTCTGAGTCTTGTTTGCATTAGTCCTTAATTCTACCCATCTTTGCCTTCTGAGCTTTATCCCTGGACAAATGTTGCCATTTTGATCTCGTGTGATTGGTTGATTTAAGGAATACATCCTTAATAACCTTACCCAGCTCATCACCATCAAGTCATTTATCAACTCAAATCAATGACCCTCCAGTCAGTTTCCAGAGGCTGTAAATCACACTGGAGGTGACTGCTCCTTCTTCCTTAGGGAAGCTAGTTGGTTAGCAGCACCTTGTTATGGGATGGTAGAGAGGCTCCCCCTTAACTGTGCAGGCTTATCGTTCAGCTCAAAGTTGTCACAGAAGGACTTCATTCCGTTCCAGGTTCAAAAGGTGACTAAGGGCCAGAGCTTAATGGCCATGTGTCAAGTCACAAAAGCATCACATACATACAATCACACTTTGTATGAGAACTTCTTTCCAAACTGATAAACAACATAAGCAGCAGTTCAGGAGACTTTATTAATTCTGCAATTCAACAAGCTTCAATTTGCTCTCTGGAAATAAACCTTGGGATTTAAGACTGAAAATCACTTAAACCAGTTAGTTGTTAAAGAAGATGAGGCAGCATGCTCATGCTTCTTTGAACATCGGGTCTTGGGGCAGTTTTAGTCTGGCCTATAGGGTAAGAGTGGAAATAGATGGTAATGAGTTTCATTGTTTGGTTTAGTGAATGGCACTGGGCCAGAAGGTAAATGTGGGCTCACAGATTTGTTCTCCATTTCACACACAAATGTAGGCAAACGGGGCATTACTAACATCATGCCTTCTGTAAGGCCACATGCCACTGCAACAGTATCAGGAAAAGAACCTATTCTGAAATGCTATTTTCCTGATCCCCCAAAAAATACACCCTTAAGGAAGATCAGCCCCAAGGGACTTGAAACACATTAAAAACAGCATATCTTTTATTTTTCAAGCACACAATTAACACCAGACTTCTGCAATGCCAGCAGTACCCTCCTAGCAATTCTTCTCATACAGAACTGGACATACTGGAAGGAAATTGTCCCTGGTGAGGTTTCTGATGACCATGAACTAAAATACAGAAGCCCCAAAGGTGAGAGAGTTTCATATCCAACAATGTGCCACGTCCAGAAAGCCTTTTACTGTGGAACGATGCAGGCTGACTCCACGTAATTCTTCTTGAACACAACTGGCTATGAGTGGGGCTAACTATAAAACATGCAGTTTTAAATGTA